CGGCGGCTGCTGTTGTATAACAATAAAAGTTAATGGTGCTAAAATACTTGTCTATTTATTTATGATCATCCCAACCTGTAATACAATAAATCTATCGACGCAGTTTACAATCTAGTGCAATGATTCTCAACCTTTTTTGTTGCGGCACGTATTTAACAATTTCAAAATTTGGCGGCACACAAAGAAAATATAAATTTATTTACTTACTGCAACACACTGCATAAATAGTTTATGACAAAAATATGCAAAATTTGCCGAAACACAAAAGTGCCGCGGCAACTGTGCTCAGTTGAGAATCACTGATCTAGTGTTTGCCTGCGGCGCGGGGCGCGGGGCGCGGGGCGCGGGGCCTGTGAGGCACATATGTATTTAAGAAGCTGTCCTGTTATAATAAAAGGAACAGACGACCGAATAGCTAAAAAAAATATAAACACTTCGCTGATCGGCTTCAATATTTTAATGTTTATGCGTGTCTTTATCATTTAAGACGAAAACGTCGTTTCAGTATTCGGCGTTTAGCAGCAGTACGATATCAACATCTAAGATATGACTTTGAATTGTTTACGCAGATATGTACAGATTGCATCACGAACTTTTCACGAAAAAAGGTTGCACTGACCACCGCCGCGCATACACCACTCCCGCGGAGTTGTCTCTTCCGGGGGATGGTTTTGAATGACGATTCATTAGATCTAAACAATAGTGTCGCTATATAGTTTAAACTTCATTATATCGTTATAGTGTCATGATTGCGAGACGGGTCTTGCACGTTGATTGCCACCCGATATTGAAAATTATATAACTTATGTTCCACGCAGATAACGTATATTTATTAATAAATAAAGTGGGATAATCATTAGACGGCCGGAGAGAATTGTCGACGTCGCGCTATCTTATTTACTTTCGGCGTCAAAGGTTCCTACTAAAGATACCGCGAGCGATGCGCGGCATCAGTCGCGACGCGGAGTGCGGGCGACGCTGGCTGCCACTCGCTGCCACTCGTTGCCACTCACTGCCACTCGCTGCCACTCGCCATGGACACGGAGGAGGGCACGCCGCTGGCGGAGGAGCGGGGCGGCGCGCGGGGCTGGCGAGCGGCGCTGGCGCAGCGGCTGCCGGTGCTGCGCTGGGCGCGGCGGTACTCGCGCGCCGCGGCCGCCGCCGACGCAGTGGCGGGCGTCACGCTCGGCCTCATGCTGGTGCCGCAGAGCATCGCCTACGCCTCGCTGGCCAACCTCCCCGTGCAGTACGGACTCTATTCGGCTTTCATTGGTTTGTCCTTACTGTCAGCTCTCGGATGCGAGTCGTAGCATTACGGTGTCTTTGCCTTAGAAACTGGTCCATGGCGAGTGCAGGTACTCTTGCACCCGTTTTAATCGCCTAGCCTACGATAAGTGACCTAACCTACTGTCTAGCTTAGATAAATTAGAAATAAATAAAGGTTTCAAGATCACGATCACGACAACTGCATTAAAAGTCAGTTACTTGCAGTACTCGATTGTACTACTTCCATATGAGGCAAAGTCAGTGTCGGATGTTGTGCGGCGTGGTCGGTCCGGCAGTGAGTGGGTGTGGCATGGCTTGCACAGGCACGATGCTGTACGTGGCGCTGGGCACGGTTAAGGAGGTTTCCATCGGGCCCACCAGCCTGATGGCGCTGCTGACGCTGCAGACGTGCCGCGGCCTGCCCGCAGACTTCGTCGTGCTTCTCACCTTCCTGTCGGGCGGCGTTGTGCTGCTCATGGGCCTGCTGCGGCTCGGTCAGTCACATTCATTTTTAATTTTGCATGGTAGAAACAGTTAATATTGCTTGTTACTAATATTATAAATGCAAAAGTTTAGATCTCCGGAACAGCGAAACGGTTCTCTGTAACAAAAAGCATACCTAAACATATAGAAGAACAGTTAGCTTTCAGGCTAGCGTCAGCGCCCAACTCCATGTGTCCGCTGCGTCTATGTCGCGCAACAGGATATTCGTAGAGTTAGTAATTAATCAGATATTTTTTTAATTTACGTTTTCGCAATTTGAAAAGTATTATCATTTTATTTTTGACAGTTTGATTAAATAATCTTGAATGTAATTACAGTTAGTTATAAAGCAAATATTTATGTGAATACAATATAATGCGTATTTGTTCGCAATCAGAGTGACACAAAGCCGCTTATCGCCGCCGCCGCCGCCGTCGGCAGCGCGGCCGCTCAGCAAACAGACAAATTGCTTATTTCTACTCGTGCAAGGCAGCGGGCAAATGAAAGAACCAAGTGTACTTTATCACACTACTTATTTCCTATAGAACGCTTGTTGTTATCAATCAAGTTTTAGCACGTATCTCAATAATAATGGTTAACTGTGCGTAACAATGCGGCGATTCGCGAGAACGCCACAGCACATGAGGTGTGTGCGGCAGGGTTCCTGGTGGAGCTGATCTCGCCGTCGGTGACGAGCGGCTTCACGTCGGCGACGGCGGTCATCATCACAGTGGCCCAACTGAAGGGCCTGCTGGGTCTGAGCTTCGTTGCCGAGAGCGTGGCGGAGAACGTGGAGCTGATTGCGGCGCGCTGGCGCGACGTGCGCCCGCCTGACTGCCTGCTCAGCCTGCTCTGCTGCGCCGCGCTGCTGCTGCTGCGGGTGCGTGCGCTAACATCATGTTTCCACGGATGTTTTACTTTATTACCGAGTTTAAATTACTTTATGTTGAAAAAAAAAACAACTATTAAGTAGTAGGAGCAATAAAGTCAAAATACAATTTCTAAATTAGTATGAAATACATTAGCGGTTTTGATGAATACCAATCAAATTGTTAAAAATGTTGCAAGTTTCATATTTTGTAAATAGAAATTAAAAGACGTGAAGGTGGGTCCGAAGCGGCGCAAGTTGAAGAAGGCGTTGTGGCTG